TACATATTTGGGTGGGGTACTGTATGCATGTAATATGTATTATGTACATTATTTGTGTGGGGAGGGTGAGGGATGATTTATTTAAGATCTAAGTTGTATTTTCTTTCGTTAAGTTCTTTCATTTGTTTAGCTTTAAGTTGTTGTTTTACTCTTTGTTCATTAGTTTAAGTTTGACTGCGCCACTTTCTTGTGTGCTGCCACTGATGTAAAAGTGTAATGTCAATAATTATTATTATTATTATTATTATTATTATTATTATTATTATTATTATTATTATTATGTAAAATATTTAAGACATTAAAAAAGTGATAAAATAAAAGATATTACACATTCTTATTTCGAACATTTCACTTAAATTAAACTTGTAATTATTTACCCAAATGAGTTTTATTATTAAAATGATATTGCGAATTATGAAAATTTAAAATTTAAATATTGTGAAGTCTATTGCTATTATTATTAAAATTATTCACTTTTTAATTATAATTATCATTATTAAAATGACGTTAAGAATGATGAAAGTTTAACATTTAAAAACTTGTGAAGACATTAAAAGTATTGAATTTAAGAAAATTTCACAGATTCAGCTAAAAAGAAAAGATCGACGTTTCGACTCCTTCATGGTGTCATTTTCAAGATCAAATGATGAAGTATAGAATATACAGCAACTCATAATCAACTTATAAAGTTGCTGTTATTATTCATGCCCTGTATAGAAATCGGAAGGCTGTTCCAAACTTTGATATCATTGAACTGAAAGAGAAGATAATGCAAAACCGTTAACGGAGAACAACAAATTTGTGCATAGGCGTAGATCCCGGGGTGGGGGATGGGGGATATATCCTCCCAATATTTGACAAGGGGGGATGGTCCATTGTATCACCCCCCTCCCAATATTTTGACTATGTATGGGATAAAATAGAGCTTTACACACTGCAAAAGACTGTCACAGAAATAATTTGCAATGTCTTATGCGCTTACAAAGATAATGTATTAATGTTGATAAAATTATTTATTCTGGTACCGGTACCAATCTAAGCTCTTCCGTCCTTAGATGTTAGTGCCACATTAAGGCGACTCAAGACCTGGTTGAGAAACAACATGACGCAAAGGAGGCTAAACAGTTGTGCAGTGGCCAAAATCCACAAGTCAATGCTGGATGACATTGATATTTTCAAAAATGGCCAAAGAATTTGTTTCTCGATCAGAAACTCGTAAAAACAAGTTTGGCCACTTCATTTAAGCAGTTATGTGAATAGCGAATATAAATACTCATTATTTTTATTATGTTTCATACTTTACAAAACCATGTTAATACCAGTGGTAATAAAACCAAAACAAAATAGGCACTAAGAGGTTATTATAAAAGTGTAAAAATGAAGAAAGTCAATAAAATACTATAAAATATTTACTTATTCTTCCACTTCTCTTTTTGCTCAACATCAATGACCTCCCTCATGGCATTCAACAAGGAAGCGTTGTGAATATCTCACAGATACAGATATGCCATATTGTTAATGGTAAATTTGATTTTCATTTTGATCAAAAATTTCACTAAAAGTAGTCATCAAATTGCACCAATTTATTTTGCAAAAACAAGGTTTCCAGCTTCAGA